ATAAGCCTTTTAGCCATAGTCTTTGTGACTCAAAACAATGACTAGGGACTATGCAAATAAGGTGCTTGTGGCACACCAAGGGAACTGGATGGCTTACTAATCATGCAAATAAGGTGCATAGAACTCTGCAAGGGTGGGGCAATGCAAATAATGTGTATGGAACCTGAACAATGGAATTAGTCAGTTTTGTCATTCTGCTGGGCTTAGAAGAGAACCAATCCCAAAGCAGAGAGATACCTCACTACCACCAAGAAGAAGAGCCAAGAATGAAGCACATCCTTTGGACCTGGTGTCCTTGTATTGACAATGTCATAGACTGAGGAGACAGAAAGAGAGAGACAGCTATAACACTGGAGGTGGCATGAGATGATAAAAATAGAAATGACAGAAGCAGAAGCAGGAGATCAGCAGAGATGGTGTGGCGTGCTTCCTGACCAATGGAGTGAGGCAGCAACAGTGGGTGTGCCGACCCAGAGGGAGAGAGAGCTAAGTACCTTCAGGCAGGAGACTTACTGGTGGAGTGGTATGCTTTCAGGCACCTGGTAGAGCTAAAGAGCTTTATAACACTTGCCTGAGTAAGGCAGTGGCTGAGAGGCTGAGGACCAGAGAGAGGCCTATCTGTGGTCAGGGCTGAGAAGAGGCTGTCTTGATCAAAGAACTATATCAGGAGTCATTTCTGATCCTAAACTGCAATGTGTTGCTTCCCTCATAAACCTCATATCATGAGTATGGTCTATGAGTTCTGTGTGATCAGTCCTATCATTAAGGTTCCATACACCTTACTTGCATGGTCCCACCCTGCAGATTGCCATATACCTCATTTGCATTATTAGCAACCTATCCAATCCCCTTGGTGGGTCATAAGCACCTTGTTTGCATAGTCCCACCCAATTATTGTGTGGGAATCACAAAGACTGTGGCTAGAAAGGCCATGTTAAGTACTTCACTGCACCAAAACCTTTAATAAAACTAAAAAACAAACTCACTCCCATTGAGCCTATTCTGACTCTTAGCAACCTTTTAGGACAGAGTAGAACTGACCCATAGGATTTCCAAGGCAGTGAATCTATGGAAGCAGATAGTCCTATCTTTCCCTGTGGAGCATCTGGTGGGTTTGAAACACCAACCTTTTGGTTAGTAGTCCAATGTTTTAACCACCATGCCACCAGAACTCCTGAGGCTCTACTAGAAGGAATATATTAAAATAGTAGAAACTGATGGTAAACAGTTTTTCTTCCTTCACTAACGTTCTACTACTAACCAAAATGTTGGCAGTTTGAACCCACCCAAAATGCCCCAGAAGAAAGATCTGGTAATCTGTTTCTGAAAGATCACAGATGAAGACCCAGTGGGTTGCCATGAGTAGGAATTGACTCAAAGGCAGCAACTACTTTGGGTTTTTCTTTTCTTTTGTTTTTTGGTGATCTAACAAAAGTGTACTAAGAGCTATAGAGATAAATGTTCTAGACTTGGTTCTGAAGCTTCCTAGCTATATAGCCTTGACCAAGTGCCTTTTCCTATATTGACCTCAAATTGCTCATCCATACAGTAGGTATGCTGTCAGATGGATCTTGGCTCAAGGCAAAGAATACCAGAAGGATGTTTACTTGTGTTTTATTTACTATGCAAAGGCATTTGATTGTGTGGATCATGACAAATTATGGATAACATTGAGAAGAATGGGAATTCC